ACTTTATAATTTTTTGCAACTTATTTAAAATTAGAGGAATAAAATGATAAAAATTAATAGGATAAACATAATAAAATTATTAATTTATTTTCTTTTAGTGTCCTCTAAATTTTTACATTCATTTAAAACAAAAATATTTTATATGTTAATTTGAATTAATTTAATGAAATATCATATGATTTTTAATTTTTTAAAATTTTTTATAAATTTGATCTATACATGAAAAACTTTTTAATTTAACAATTAAATTCTTAAAAATTTGATATAGAACATTAATTACTCTTGAAGTAAGTAAATGTTTTCTTCATTAAAAATGAAGATAATTTTACCACAAAATAAAAAACAATTAAATAATAAAATAAAATATATTAAAAAAATATTAATATATTTATTATATTAGATATAACAACATAATTAAAATATAATTAATAATATATATTTTATAAAATTATTAATATTTTATATATAAAAAAAAAGAATGAAAAAAATTTTAGTGGGGGCAAGTGCCCCCATTATGATTAACTTAGATCTATCCCTGCATATGGTTAGTGGGGGTAATGTTTGAAATGCTTTGTACCTTGAGTCTTTTTCCTTCCATGATTCACAATCGTGAACTATATTCATTGATCGTTTATGTTTAGCAGTCTAGAACCAGAACGGCCCGTTCTGAAACCAGAACGGCCCGTTCTGGTTTCACTTTTAGTGCGTTAATTTTACACCTGGAACGGGCCGTTCCAGATGCAAAATTAACACACCAAAAGTGCAACCAAAACGGCCCGTTCTGGGGTGTTTTCAAAAAAAATTGGCATCCACCTATGCATCTACATGGCATCCACGTGGCCAACAGTTAACTCCGTTTAAATAATTTGGACGAAAGTCCCAAATTGAAACCAATTAATTTATTTGGCACCAAATTGAAACCAATTAATTAATTTGGGACTAAATTGAAACCAAAAATAAAAGTGGGACTAAATTGAAACAAACAATTATTATAAGGGACCAAAATAGGTTTTTAGCCAAAATTATATCAATTTTGTCGAATCTAACGAATCAATTGAGTTATGTTGGACTACTTATTTTTAGGCTTAAAATATCCTGAGTTTGTTTGACTTAATTTTATCTTTTTTTCCTTTGAAAAATTTAAATAAAATGGAAAATAAAGTAAAGTTGGCAAATGTGTCCTATTTTGATAGATCAATAAGTCAAAGTTGTTCAATTCAAAATATCATAAGAGTTCAGTGCAGTTTAAATTACAATTCAATTCATGTTTTTATAGTATAGTTCAGTTCAGTTCAATGACACAAAAAAATAGCTCAATTCAGTTCGTCTGAACTAATATTTAGTTTAGTTCAATTCATGAGAACTACTTTTAAGTTCAGTATAATTTTTATAAGTTCAGTTTAGTTCAGTTTATTTTGTCCACCCCTATCCAAGCGACACATCAACTTATCTTGGCGCATTTAGAGTAATCTTTAGAATACATGTATAATGATACATAAATCTCCACATGACACATTATTAACTTATTTCAATATGTTATTTTAGCATATTTATAGTAACTTTTAAAATATATGTATAATGATACATAAATTTTCACATGACACATTATTAACTTATAATGTGTTATCTTTAAAATACATGTACAATGATACATGAACCTTCACTTGACAAATTAATAACTTATCTTGACCCGTTATTTTAGTGCATTTAGAGTAGTTTTTAAAATGCATATACAATGATACACAAAACTCTATGTGACACATTATTAACTTATCTAAGGGCATTAATATTGTACCGGAATATCGAATCAACCACGTGGAACGACACGTGATGCCCCCTCGGCCACCGAGACGGCCAAAACAAGGGTCTTTCCCACAAGAAGTTTCGGCCATGATGGCCACCTAGACTACAGAAACACAGGCCCTACATCAACTAGTCATCAAGGGTCTCAGACACGTCGGTGGCCGAGAGGACCGAGACCACAAAGTCCATACTCAAGATATTGGGAGTTCGAGCATGTTAGCAGCCTAACTGGTTGTCTCGACAACTTCTCGGCTCGGTCGAAGGCCGAAACCTATAAGTAGCCTCGGTTCTGATCCTTTCGGCTCGGCCAAGGGCCGATACGAGTAATTGCAGTCATTAGGACGACAATCATGATTAACAAGGGCAAGCACATTATTAACGCATAATCAATCGCTTAGCATCGTATTACCTAATTTGGTAAGCGTTAGAGGAGGCCCACCACACTCAAGACCCATTATAACTAGTATAAATAGGTCACGTTAAATGAGGTATGTCACTGTTTATTTATTACTATCGAGATTCGTGTTTGTCCTAACTTGAGCGTCGGAGTGTCTTTGCAGGTACCTCCCCCTTCTAAAGCGTCCGCCCGAAACTCTCGTTCGGCCCTCAAATTATTAGAAGATTACGAGTGTGCCCTTAGACAGGTACAAATATTATCTTAGTATGTTTCAAGTAGTTTTTAAATGCATGCATAATGATACATAGTCATCTATGTGACACGTTATTAATTTATCTAAGCACATTTAGAGTAGTTTCTAAAAACATAAACTTCCGTGTGACACATTATTAACTTATCTCAACACATTATCTTAACATGTTTGGTGTGATTTTTAAATGCATGAAAGTGTTTGAATGAACTTATAAAATATCTTATAAGAGTAACCCATAAAATATTGAGCTTATTTTGATAAACTCTTCGATATAACTTATTATTTAACTTATGTAAAAAAATTTATTAGGAAATATTCAAATTCAAATTTTGTCATCGACTTAAATAAATTATTTATATTTTTTTTATTCTTTCATTACCAGATTTTTTGTTCAATTAGTCCCTTCAAAAAAAAAATTATTTTCTCCTCAATTTTTTTTTCTATCTCGTCTCCTGAAAATCCACATTCATTTATTACATCAAACAAAAAACTCATTACTTTTAATTTAAACAAACCAAGATGCTGGATTATATTAGAAATTTAATCTGGTTCATAGGCTAGGTTCAAACACATAATGACAAACAGAATATTTCCCCCTAACAATGTGTCTCCTCCTTCCACTGAAACTGATAAAAAAACTACCCTTCTCCCCTCTCTGACTTCCTCTACAGTATATATTAAATAATAATTGTCACATGTATAAAATAACTACCTAATAACACCAAACAATAACTACACTCCACTGAAACTAAACAATAACCGCCACGTACACAACTAGACTAAATGCAGTTCCTAAAATAAAATTCAACTTTATCACTCAGTATTTAAATATAATGATCAAAATGAATGAGGATATAAACATAAAGCCCTCAACCTGCCAGGCAAATGAAAAAAAGTAATAAGCATGAGCTATTGTGAAGGTGCATGCAGTACAGATTTAATATTATTTTGCCAATAAAAGAAAAAAATAACAATAAAATGAATAAAAGTAAAATTAATGAAATGGCTTATGAAGCTAATCATGATATTGAGGAATAAAAGTATGGCTTAATGTAACAATGCGATATTATGATTTGCCATGGCAGCCTAAAACATGTAATAAAATTACACTAGAGAACATTCGAACACAAAATGCCTAGTTTTGAAGTGGCGTTAATTTTCCAAACTGTGCAAAGCACATCCTTAACACTTTCTTCACGGGAAGTATAACAATTTAAAAGGATACAAGTAATCTCAACTTAGCAATAAGAAAGACAAAGTTAGGTATCAAATATGTACTATCTACTGATAAAGTTGATTAAATAAAAACTATACCACAAGCCATCAACATTGAAATAAGGTACACTCCATGCAATGCTAAAATTGAAACCAACTACATAAATCCAACATGACTTAAAATTCTTGCACACTACAACAATTGTGCGCCAAAATTGCAATCAAAAGGAGGGAAAACAAAGGTTAGAGCATGAAAAGAGTGATCATAAAAACAAACAAGCAGGCTGAATACAATAAATTCATGGAGGAAGGAAAAATAGATAATAAAAAATTCAAAGAGAGATAAAAAATTCATATCACATCATGTTTAATATATACCTGCAGTGTCCCTTATCAGCATTGTTCTAACCCATTCTTTCTTTTAAAGATGAGTAGAATCAAGCAAAAATTAAAGGTATTACATAAATCATTAGTCTCTATCCTTGTCATTAAAATTCCTAAAAAAGTGAAATATTCAAGACAAAATTGAAGTAATACAATAAAAAATTTGGATGGGTGAACCGAGAAGAAAAGTTATAATAGGGAAGAAAATGACTGAATTCTTATTGCCTGTGTCAAACATACAACACTACATAGCTCAAGCATACCCCACAACAAACAGTAAAGCAATAACAGAATTGTAACAAATTGTTTCTGAAAGCTGTTGAATCATTTGATTTTTCTTTATATTTATAAAAGATAAAATCTGACCACTTCTTGGGTTTGTTGGTAAGTAACACGAGTAACAAAATTCAAACACACAATGTGATAGGTCCCCCGTAACAGTAAAAACAAGAAGTAACAGAGAAAATAAATAATAGAAGATAGAATCAGAGTTTATTGCTCTGCCAAGGGAAGAGTCACCTTCAAACATAGGCAAGATTTCCCGAAACGAGGTTTCCATCTCATAAACGAAACGCAGAGAAGCGAAGAAAGCGACAAACAGAACAGAGAAGCGATGAAATATCTAATAGAGAAAGAGGCGTCGTGGCCGGCAAGGGAGGCGTCTTTCCCGAATGTCTGCTAGGGCAAGAGCTGTGTTGCGGAGTCTTTCCGGAAGGAGCTGTGTCATCGGACAAATCAAGGAATCAAAATGACAATAACATTTTCGATTGTTACCATATTAAGTAAGTATTCAAAGAGATACCATACAGGTCTGGGCTTTTTTCGATTGTTCATGGCCCATCGAATAGAGTAGCAATGTATACCGTATGGTGGCCGAAACGCCCGAATACTCGAGATCGTTAACCGTATGGTGGCCGAAACGCCCGAATACCCGAGATCGTTGTTTATGCCGAGTACTCGAACCCGCCGACCACCCCTACATGAGGTGAAACGGGTCGGCGGAGTCGGCCGAGTATGTCGACATCATCTAGATGGTTACGGAGAGATTAATTAACATAATGCACAGGATTAGACCCCTAATTTTCCGGGGCCCAGTCCCTAATTGCAGCCCAATAAGAACCACTATAAATAGGACCCCAACGAGGTATGTAATTAATTCTGAACTACCGCATTTATTACGCCGAGCACTAACTTGAGCGTCGGAGTGTCTTTGCAGGCACACTCCTTTCCCTCCTTCGGACTACCCGGATTGGAACAAGAAAACTGAGACCGAAGATCCGATCCGTCACAACGAAGATACTTGAAGTGTGTATCCTAAAACAGGAACACAATGTATTTTCCATAACATTTTCTTCTTTTTTTTTTTATGGTACGCAATTAACTTAACATAGTTACCCCCACTGAGTACTTTTCAGATTCAACCTACCCTTTCTTTCTAGCTCTTATTTTTTTTTTCTTCGCTACACCCTTCTTCCAATCAATTCGAAAAAATCCAACTCTAATGCATAGCCCATTGGTTCCTCGGATAGTGGGTTTATGAGCCCTAAAGTGAAAAAAACTCATAAGCCAAATTTATGCCAACTTTAGACATTATTAAAACAAAAAATTATAAAAATTATAACTCAAATTATAATAAATATTTTGTAATAAATTTATTATATATTAAAATTAATTAAATATTTTTATAAAAAAATTGATACAGATTTTAGATTTTATTTATTATGTTTTATAATCAAAAGATATTCAATATTAAATAAAAGA